TGTGTCACTGTGTGACACTGTCACTGTGTCACTGTCACTGTGTCACTGTGTCCCCTGTACACCACGGTCAGCCTGTCCAGCAGCGCGATCTCGCCTGGGGACAGCAACACTGTCACTGTGTGTCACTGTCACTGTGTGTCACTGTGTGTCACTGTGTGTCACTGTCACTGTGTCACTGTGTGTCACTGTGTGTCACTGTGTGTCACTGTCACTGTGTCACTGTGTCACTGTCACTGTGTCACTGTGTCCCCTGTACACCACGGTCAGCCCGTCCAGCAGCGCGATCTCGCCTGGGGACAGCGTCATTGTCATTGTCACCTGTGTGTCACCCCCGTGTCCCCTCACTGTCCCCAGTGTCACTCACTGTCACTGTGGTGTGTCTGTGACCCGTGACCCTGTCACACCCCTGTCACACCCCCATGTCACCCGTTGTCACCCCGTGTCACCCCGTGTCCCCCCGTGTCACCCCGTGTCACCCGCTGTCACCCAGTGTCACTCACTGTCACTGCGGTGTGTCTGTGACCCGTGACCCTGTCACCCCCCTGTCACACCCCCATGTCACCCGTTGTCTCCCCGTGGCACCCCGTGTCTCCCTTTGTCACCCAGTGTCACTCACTGTCACTGCGGTGTGTCTGTGACCCGTGACCCTGTCACCCCCCTGTCACACCCCCATGTCACCCGTTGTCTCCCCGTGGCACCCCGTGTCTCCCTTTGTCACCCAGTGTCACTCACTGTCACTGCGGTGTGTCTTGCTGAAGATGTTCTTCTCGAAGGCGCGCTGCTCCTTCACGCTGGGGTACGTGTCATCGTAGTACTGGGGACACGGGGACAGTGTTGGGGACATTGGGGACACGGGGACAGTGTTGGGGACAGCGTTGGGGACACGGGGACAGCATCAGGGACACGGGACAGGGACACCGGCCACCCCTGGCCCCCGGGCCACCCGCCCTGTCCCCTTCCCAGAGCCACATCCCCTCGGGGCAGTGTCCCCTCACTGTCCCCAGTGTCCCCAGTGTCCCCCCAGTGTCCCCCCAGTGTCCCCACCTTGCCGAAGAGCCGCTCGCCGTCGTTGTCCAGGATGATGATGGCCTTGACCGTGTACAGGGACGGCTCCTGCGGGGACAGGGACGGGGACAGTGCCACCAGGGGGACGGGGACACCACGGGGACAAGGACAGTGCCACCCCTGGGACAGGGACAGTGCCACCCCCAGGACAGGGACAAGGACAGTGCCACCCCCGGGACAGGGACAGTGCCATCCGTGTCCCCAGTGCCAGGGACGCCGGGCCAGGCTGTGCCGGGGTCACGGCACTGCTGGGGCCACTGTCCCCAGTGTCCCCTTGTCCCCCCTGTGTCCCCCTGTACCCTGTGTCCCAGTGTCCCCCCCGACAGGGACAGTGCCACCCCCAGGACAGGGACAAGGACAGTGCCACCCCCGGGACAGGGACAGTGCCATCCGTGTCCCCAGTGCCAGGGACGCCGGGCCAGGCTGTGCCGGGGTCACGGCACTGCTGGGGCCACTGTCCCCAGTGTCCCCTTGTCCCCCCTGTGTCCCCCTGTACCCTGTGTCCCAGTGTCCCCCCCAGTGTCCCCCATGTCCCCGTGTCCCCCCTTGTGCCCCCGGTGTCCCCCTGTCCCCTGTGTCCCAGTGTCCCCCCCATGTCCCAGTGTCCCTCCGGTGTCGCTCGGGGTCCCCAGGACCAAGTTCTGTGATGCACTGACTGCCCAGAGCCACAGCCCAGTGTAGGACAGACCCCCCCCCTGGGGACCCGACACTGCCACCCTGTCACCGTGTCACTGTGTTCCCCCTGGGATGCCCTTTTCAGCTGCAGTGCACCTGGAGCCCTGGGCTTTGTGGTTTTCTGTCCCCAGTGTCCCCTCAGTGTCCCCAGTGTCCCCAGTGTCCCCCCAGTGTCCCCCCAGTGTCCCCACCTTGGCGAAGAGCCGCTCGCCGTCGTTGTCCAGGATGATGATGGCCTTGACCGTGTACAGGGACGGCTCCTGCGGGGACAGGGACGGGGACAGTGCCACCAGGGGGACGGGGACACCACGGGGACAGGGACAGTGCCACCCCCAGGACAGGGACAAGGACAGTGCCACCCCCGGGACAGGGACAGTGCCATCCGTGTCCCCAGTGCCAGGGACGCCGGGCCAGGCTGTGCCGGGGTCACGGCACTGCTGGGGCCACTGTCCCCAGTGTCCCCTTGTCCCCCCTGTGTCCCCCTGTACCCTGTGTCCCAGTGTCCCCCCCAGTGTCCCCCATGTCCCCGTGTCCCCCCTTGTGCCCCCGGTGTCCCCCTGTCCCCTGTGTCCCAGTGTCCCCCCCATGTCCCAGTGTCCCTCCGGTGTCGCTCGGGGTCCCCAGGACCAAGTTCTGTGATGCACTGACTGCCCAGAGCCACAGCCCAGTGTAGGACAGAACCCCCCCCTGGGGACCCGACACTGCCACCCTGTCACCGTGTCACTGTGTCACCCCCTGGGGACCCGACACTGCCACCATGTCACCGTGTCACCGTGTCACCCCCTGGGGACCCGACACTGCCACCATGTCACCGTGTCACCGTGTCACCGTGTCACCCCCCGGGGACCCGCCACTGCCACCGCCACAGTCACCAACTGCCCCCCGCTGTCCCACCCCCAGGACAGGGACAAGGACAGTGCCACCCCCGGGACAGGGACAGTGCCATCCGTGTCCCCAGTGCCAGGGACGCCGGGCCAGGCTGTGCCGGGGTCACGGCACTGCTGGGGCCACTGTCCCCAGTGTCCCCTTGTCCCCCCTGTGTCCCAGTGTCCCCCCCCATGTCCCCGTGTCCCCCCGGTGTCGCTCGGGGTCCCCAGGACCAAGTTCTGTGATGCACTGACTGCCCAGAGCCACAGCCCAGTGTAGGACAGAACCCCCCCCTGGGGACCCGACACTGCCACCCTGTCACCGTGTCACTGTGTCACCCCCTGGGGACCCGACACTGCCACCATGTCACCGTGTCACCGTGTCACCCCCTGGGGACCCGACACTGCCACCATGTCACCGTGTCACCGAGTGCCACCCCCGGGGACCTGCCACTGCCACCCTGTCACCCTGTCACCCTGTCACCCTGTCACCGTGTCACCCCCGGGGACCCGCCACTGCCACCGCCACGGTCACCAACTGCCCCCCGCTGTCCCCAGCGCTGCCCCAGTGTCACCAGTGTCCCCGAGTGCCCAGAGCCGCAGCCCAGTGCAGGACAGACCGCCTCCGGGGACACGAAAATGTCACCTCCCAGTGCCCCCAGTCCATCCCAGTGCCCCCCAGTCCCCCCCAGTTTGATCCCAGTCCCCCCCAGTGCCCCCAGTCCATCCCAGTCCCCCCCAGTCCCCCCCAGTTCCCGCGGCCCTCACCAGCACCAGCGCCTCCATTTTGCCTCCTCCGCTGCCGACGTGGAGCCGGAAGAGCTCCGGCCGCTGATTGGCCGCTCGCCTGCCAATCTCTGCCTTTGGCCCCACCCTGCCGGGCTGATTGGCCCAGCTCTGCCTCAATCCCACCAATCGCTGCTCATTCCCATGCGGTGGGCCGAGCAATCTTTCCCGCGCTTCCGCAGACGGACGGTGATTGGAGGAGCCAGCTGTCAATCACTGCTGCATGGCGCGCCCGGAAGCGGAGGAGGCTGTACAGTTGCCATAGTGACCGGGGAAGCGCTGACGTCACCCCTTTGGCGGGCCCGGGCTATGATTGGCTGTCTCACGTGCTTTGGTGAGCACGTGACCGGAAGCGATCGGCTTTCCGCTGTTGGCCACGCCTCTCTCATGGTCACGCCCTCCGTGGGCGGGGCCTCGCCTGACCTTTGGTCACTCGGGGTCACGGGGGGACAACTGGGGACAACGGGGACAACTGGGGACAATTGGGGACAACTGGGGACAACGGGGACAACTGGGGACAATTGGGGACAACTGGGGACAACGGGGACAACTGGGGACAATTGGGGACAACTGGGGACAACGGGGACAACTGGGGACAACTGGGGACAACTGGGACATGGATTGGGGACATTGGGGGCACGGAGGGGACATTGGGGACATCAGGGACAGGGACACCAGCGGTGTCACCCCCCAGCTGTTGGGGACACTCGGGGGTGGCAGCGCCGTGTGCCACAGCCCCGGGTGACACTGGGGACAGCCCTGTCACCCCCGGGGGACAGCGCTGTCACCGCAGGGACAGCCCTGTCACTGCCACCCTGCCACCCCCGGGGGACAGCCCTGCCAGGGCCACCCCCATAAAGCCACTGCTGTCACCCTCTGCGCCCCGCGGTGACACTGCTGCCACCTCCTGCTGCTGCTGCTGTCCCCGGGGCCAGGAGGTGCCACCCTCAGCCAGGCATGGTGACACACACAGCCCGCGGGTGACACACACCCTGCAGGTGACACACGCCACAGGTGATACACACACCCCGCGGGTGACACACGCCACAGGTGACACACCCTGCAGGTGACACACCCCACAGGTGACACCTCCCGGTGTTCCCACACCCCGGTGCCACATCCCCGCTGTCACCTCCTGTCCCTGTCCCCTCCACGGCCACCCCATCCCCGCCACTCCTGTCCCCAACCCTGTCCCTGTCCCCAGTGTCCCTGTCCCTGCAGTGTCCCTGTCCCCTCCACGGTGTCCCTGTCCCCTCAGCAGTGTCCCTGTCCCCAGTGTCCCTGTCCCTGCAGTGTCCCTGTCCCCTCCACGGTGTCCCTGTCCCCTCAGCAGTGTCCCTGTCCCCTCCATGGTGTCCCTGTCCCTGCAGTGTCCCTGTCCCCTCGGCGGTGTCCCTGTCCCCACAGTGTCCCCAGTGTCCCTGTCCCTGCAGTGTCCGTGTCCCCTCCATGGTGTCCCTGTCCCCTGGGCAGTGTCCCTGTCCCCTCGGCAGTGTCCCTGTAGTGTCCCCGCGCTGTCCCCAGCGTCCCTGTCCCCTGAGCAGTGTCCCTGTCCCCTGGGCGGTGTCCCCAGGGCAGTGTCCCCTGGGCGGTGTCCCCCGCTGTCCCCAGTGTCCCTGTCCCTGCAGTGTCCCTGTCCCCTCCATGGTGTCCCTGTCCCCTGGGCAGTGTCCCCGCAGTGTCCCTGCGGTGTCCCCAGTGTCCCTGTCCCCGCGGTGTCCCTGTCCCCTGGGCGGTGTCCCCTGGGCGGTGTCCCCTGAGCAGTGTCCCTGTCCCTGCAGTGTCCCTGTCCCCTGGGCACTGTCCCTGTCCCCTCGGCAGTGTCCCTGTCCTCTCCATGGTGTCCCTGCAGTGTCCCTGTCCCCTGAGCAGTGTCCCCTGGGTGGTGTCCCTGTCCCCTGGGCGGTGTCCCCGCTGTCCCCTCCGGCGCTGTCCCCGCACACGGGACACAGGTACAAAAATACCCTTTTATTGAGGGCACCGGGGGTCCCGCGGGGCCGGGGGGGGTGACCCAGCCGGGGCTGTCCCCGTGTCCCCAAGGGTCCCCTCTGTCCCCGCGCTCACCTCCGCGGGCTCCTGTCCCGGGGCCGGCGCCGCCTACAAGGGAAGGTGGCAATTAGTGACAGGGACAGCAGGGACAGCGGGGACACCTGGGGACACCCGGGGACACCTGGGGACACCAGAAACACCCAGGGAGACCTGGGGACACCTGGGAGACCTGGGGACACCTGGGGACACCCAGGGACACCTGGGGACACCAGAAACACCCAGGGAGACCTGGGGACACCTGGGAGACCTGGGGACACCTGGGGACACCTGGGGACACCCAGGGACACCTGGGGACACCAGAAACACCCAGGGAGACCTGGGGACACCTGGGGACACCAGGAACACCTGGGGACACCTGGGGACACCCGGGGACACCTGGGGACACCCAGGGAGACCTGGGGACAACCAGGGACACCTGGGGACACCCGAGGGATACCCACAGGACACCTGGGGACACCCAGGGGACACCAGGAACACCCTGGGGACACCTGGGGACACCCAGGGACACCAGGAACACCCAGGAAGACCTGGGGACACCTGGGGTCACCCGAGGGATACCCACGGGACAGCTGGGGACACCCAGGGACACGCAGGGGACACCAGGAACACCCTGGGGACACCTGGGGACACCCAGGGGACACCAGGAACACCCTGGGGACACCCAAGGGACACCCAGGGGACACCCGGGGACACCCAAGGAGACCCAGGGGACACCCAGGGGACACCTGGGGACACCTGGGGGACACCAGGAACATCCAGAGGACACCTGGGGACACCCAGGGTGACAATAGAGGCGGGGCGAAGGGGCGGAGCCAGGCTGTGACTGACAGCTGAGGTGACCAATCAGGAGGAGAGCAGCCGGCCCGCCCCTAAAATTAACAATAATAATAAAAAATAATTTAAAAAAAAAACCCAAGAGACATTTATTGAGGGGGTACAGGACAGGGGGACTCCGGCCGCTCGCTGGGGAACTGCGGGGGGCTGGACACGGCGACCTCCGGCGGCCCGGGGGGGTCCCGGGGGGCTCCGGGGGGCCCTGGGGGGGTCCCGGGGGGGTCCCGGGGCTTGGGACAGGGATGGGACAGGGACAGGATTTGGACAGGATTGGGGCAGGATTGGGATCGGGATTGGGGCAGGGACAGGATCAGGATCGGGGTTGGGATCAGGGCAGGGTCAGGATGGGGATCAGGGCTGGGATTGGGCAGGGGCAGGACTGGGATCAGGATGGGGATTGGGGCAGGTTTGGGATCAGGGCTGGGTTGGGAATTGGGATCGGGGCAGGGTCGGGATCAGGGCTGGGATCAGCAGTGGCTCCGGTGTTCCCGATCCCGTTCCCGATCCCGACCCCAATCCTGCCCTGCCCCTGCTCCATCCCTGCCCTGATCCCTTCCCTGTTCCCTGCCTCGATCCCAGCCCTGATCCTGATCCTGGCCCCAATTCCAGCCCCAATCCCTGCCCAGATCCCAGCCCAAATCTTGCTCCATCCCTGCCCGATCCCGACCCCAGATCCCAGCCCTGCCCGGGACAGGGATGGGACAGGGACAGGATTTGGACAGGATTGGGGCAGGATTGGGATCGGGATTGGGGCAGGGACAGGATCAGGATCGGGGTTGGGATCAGGGCAGGGTCAGGATGGGGATCAGGGCTGGGATTGGGCAGGGGCAGGACTGGGATCAGGATGGGGATTGGGGCAGGTTTGGGATCAGGGCTGGGTTGGGAATTGGGATTGGGGCAGGGTCGGGATCAGGGCTGGGATCAGCAGTGGCTCCAGTGTTCCCGATCCCGTTCCCAATCCCGACCCCAATCCTGCCCTGACCCTGCTCCATCCCTGCCCTCATCCCTTCCCTGTTCCCTGCCTCGATCCCAGCCCTGCCCCTGCTCCATCCCTGCCCTGATCCCTTCCCTGTTCCCTGCCTCGATCCCAGCCCTGATCCTGATCCTGGCCCCAATTCCAGCCCCAATCCCTGCCCAGATCCCAGCCCAAATCTTGCTCCATCCCTGCCCGATCCCGACCCCAGATCCCAGCCCTGCCCCTGCTCCATCCCTGCCCGATCCCAACCCCAAATCCCAGCCCTGACCCTGCTCCATCCCTGCCCGATCCCAACCCCAAATCCCAGCCCTGACCCTGCTCCATCCCTGCCTGATCCCTTCCCTGTTCCCTGCCCAGATTCCAGCCCTGATCCAGCCCCAATCCTGCCCCGATCCCAGCCCCAATCCTGATCCTGGCCCCAATCCCAGCCCCATTCCTGCCCCGATCCCAGCCCCATTCCTGATCCTGGCCCCAATCCCAGCCCCAATCCTGCCTCGATCCCAGCCCCGATCCTGATCCTGGCCCCAATCCCAGCCCCATTCCTGCCCCGATCCCGCTGGAATTCCCAGCTCCACCCCTTCCCACCCTTTCCCCTGATTTCCACCCTTTCTCCTACTTTTCCTTCATTTTTTCCCAACCTTTTATTTCCCTCATATTCTCCCACTTTTCTCCCTGAACCTTCCTCTCGACTTTTCCTTCACCTTTCCCCCCAACCATTTCACAGCTTCTTCCCTCAATTCTCTTCCCATTTCCCCCCAAATTTTCCCCCAAATTTTTCCCACCTTTTTCTCCCCTTTTTCACATACTTTCCCACACTTTCCCCACCCTTCTTCCCTGTTTTTTCTCTCCTTTTTTCCCACATTTTCCCCACCTTTTTCCCATACTTTTCCCACCCTTTTCTCCCCTTTTCCCCTTACTTTCCCCACCCTTCTTCCCTGTTTTTTCTCCCCTTTTTCCCATATTTTCCCCACCTTTTTCCCACACTTTCCCCACCCTTTTCCCATATTTTCCCCACCCTTTCCCCACCCTTTTTCCCCGTTTTTCCCCATTTTCCCCCTCACCTGGCCGTTAAAACCTCCTCCCTCCTCCGTAGCTGCCGCCGCCGCTGGAGCTGCCGTAGCCGCCTGCGGAGCCGGGGGGGATTTAGGGACACCCAAAAACCGGGGGGGGGGCACATCCGGGGACCCCCCCTGTGACACAGAACCCCTGCTGCCCACTCTGGGGTCTCTGCAGCACATTTTGGGGTCTCCCCAGGTTACTTTCAGGCCACCCCAACACATTTTAACGCCTCCCCAAGGTGATTTTTGGGTTCCCCCTGGTGATTTTTGGGGTTCCCCAGGTAATTTTTGGGTTCCCCCAGGTGATTTTGGGGACCCTCAGGTGATTTTTGGGTTCCCCCAGGTGATTTTGGGGACCCTCAGGTGATTTTTGGGTTCCCCAGGGGATTTTTGGGGTCCCCCAGGTGCTTCTTGGGGGACTCACCACTGCTGTAATGCCCCAAGCTGCGCCCCATAAACCTGCCCCCAGTACATTTCGTGTCTCCTAGGGTATTTTGGGGTTCTCCAGGTGATTTTGGGGTTCCCCACGTGATTTTTGGGTTCCCCCAGGTGATTTTTGGGGTTCCCCAGGCTGTTCTGGGGACTCACCACCAGCGCAGGGCCCCGAGCTGCGCCCCCCGAAGCTGCCCCCAGTACATTCAGGATATTTTGGGGTTCCCCAGGGGGTTTTTGGGGTTCCCAGGGGGTTTTGGGGACTCACCGCCGCCGTAGGGCCCCGAGCTGCGCCCCCCGAAGCTGCCCCCAGTACATTCAGGATATTTTGGGGTTCCCCAGGGGGTTTTTGGGGTTCCCAGGGGGCTTTGGGGACTCACCGCCGCCGTAGGGCCCTGAGCTGCGCCCCCCGAAGCTGCCCCCAGTACATTCAGGATATTTTGGGGTTCCCCAGGGGGATTTTGGGGTTCCCCAGGCTGTTTTTGGGGTTCCCAGGGGGTTTTGGGGACTCACCGCTGCCGTAGGGCCCCGAGCTGCGCCCCCTGAAGCTGCCCCCAGTACATTCAGGATATTTTGGGGTTCCCCAGGGGGATTTTGGGGTTCCCCAGGCTGTTTTTGGGGTTCCCAGGGGGTTTTGGGGACTCACCGCCGCCGTAGGGCCCCGAGCTGCGCCCCCCGAAGCTGCCGCCCTTCATGGGCCCGCCCTGATCCAGCCCCAATCCTGCCCCGATCCCAGCCCCAATCCTGATCCTGGCCCCAATCCCAGCCCCATTCCTGCCCCGATCCCAGCCCCATTCCTGATCCTGGCCCCAATCCCAGCCCCAATCCTGCCTCGATCCCAGCCCCGATCCTGATCCTGGCCCCAATCCCAGCCCCATTCCTGCCCCGATCCCGCTGGAATTCCCAGCTCCACCCCTTCCCACCCTTTCCCCTGATTTCCACCCTTTCTCCTACTTTTCCTTCATTTTTTCCCAACCTTTTATTTCCCTCATATTCTCCCACTTTTCTCCCTGAACCTTCCTCTCGACTTTTCCTTCACCTTTCCCCCCAACCATTTCACAGCTTCTTCCCTCAATTCTCTTCCCATTTCCCCCCAAATTTTCCCCCAAATTTTTCCCACCTTTTTCTCCCCTTTTTCACATACTTTCCCACACTTTCCCCACCCTTCTTCCCTGTTTTTTCTCTCCTTTTTTCCCACATTTTCCCCACCTTTTTCCCATACTTTTCCCACCCTTTTCTCCCCTTTTCCCCTTACTTTCCCCACCCTTCTTCCCTGTTTTTTCTCCCCTTTTTCCCATATTTTCCCCACCTTTTTCCCACACTTTCCCCACCCTTTTCCCATATTTTCCCCACCCTTTCCCCACCCTTTTTCCCCGTTTTTCCCCATTTTCCCCCTCACCTGGCCGTTAAAACCTCCTCCCTCCTCCGTAGCTGCCGCCGCCGCTGGAGCTGCCGTAGCCGCCTGCGGAGCCGGGGGGGATTTAGGGACACCCAAAAACCGGGGGGGGGGCACATCCGGGGACCCCCCCTGTGACACAGAACCCCTGCTGCCCACTCTGGGGTCTCTGCAGCACATTTTGGGGTCTCCCCAGGTTACTTTCAGGCCACCCCAACACATTTTAACGCCTCCCCAAGGTGATTTTGGGGTTCCCCAGGTGATTTTGGGTTCCCCAGGTGATTTTTTGGGTTCCCCAGGTGATTTTTGGGGTTCCCCAGGTGATTTTTGGGGTTCCCAGGGGGCTTTGGGGACTCACCGCCGCCGTAGGGCCCCGAGCTGCGCCCCCCGAAGCTGCCCCCAGTACATTCAGGATATTTTGGGGTTCCCCAGGGGGATTTTGGGGTTCCCCAGGCCCAGGGGGTTTTTGGGGTTCCCAGGGGGTTTTGGGGACTCACCGCCGGCGCAGGGCCCCGAGCTGCGCCCCCCGAAGCTGCCCCCAGTACATTCAGGATATTTTGGGGTTCCCCAGGGGGTTTTTGGGGTTCCCAGGGGGCTTTGGGGACTCACCGCCGCCGTAGGGCCCCGAGCTGCGCCCCCCGAAGCTGCCGCCCTTCATGGGCCCGAAGCTCGAGGCCTGGTTGTTGTAGCTGCCGAAGTCGTTGTAGCTGCCCCCACCCCCGAAATTGCTGCCTGGGGGGGGACAGAGGGGTCAGGGGGGACAGAGGGGTCAGG